TCCAAGAGCATGATATGTCCATCCTCTCTAACCAATACATTCTCAGGCTTTAAGTCTCTGTATACAACACCTATCATGTGGAGATACTCCAGGGAAAGAAGCACCTCTGAGGCATAAAACCTACAAAAGCAAGAGATAAACTATCAGAACATTAACCAAATCTTTACTTATTGCAGAAACAATAACAAATGTGTAAAATCAAGATTGCATTCACTGAAAATTGTGGATGAAACAACCAACTCCAGCATTAATTGCAATATAACTAGTATGCTCCACAAATTATAAGAACCTATGATACAACAGGGAATCCCCTTCACAATTGCCTAAGTCAGTAGTAAGTTGCCAAATTTATAATGTTAAAGCATTAACTTATCTGCCAAACTCTGATTTTCTTTTGTGGGTTTTGATAGACACAAAAAAGTTGTTCAGACCATGATAACAATAACAATAATGTGCGTTTATACAACTTACTATAGCCGTTGTTGCTGAGGCATGGAAGAAGATTAAGATTCTGGACCAATTTAATCCCAGTCATCATAAAGTAAAAAACTTGAGTTGAATATGGATCAGAAATATTTACTGTTCCAGTTGAATAATTCCAGTTGTCATGATGTAGAAAACTTGAACTGACTATAAAAACAAACTATTTACCGGTCCTTCATCCATATGTAGCTGCTATAACTTTTTTCTCAGCTATTCCTTGTAAAGCAAATTACTCAATGTATAAACTATTGATTAACAATAAAGTAATCGACAAAAAAGCAGAAGAAAAAATCTTTAATCTTGAAATGTAGAAGCTAACCTTGCTGCTTTCTCTGGAAAATGCTTTCCTGGCTGACGCTGCCGGAGTGTGTGAAGATCCCCACCACTGCAAAACTCCATTACCAAACAAGAAAACTTGTCTGTTTCAAAATGTGAGTAAAGGGTTGGTAAAAATGGATGATCTAGCAAACTTAATATCTCTCTCTCTGTTTGTGCTCTCATCAATTTCTTTCTCCCAGCTAACATTCCTTTATCCATCACTTTGATTGCAAACAAACAACCCATTCCTCTCAGCTCAGCCAAATAAACAGTCCCTATATCCCCACAACCCAGTTTCTTCAATAACCTAAAATGTTCCAAACCCAGTTCCCCATTTTCACCCTTAACACACTGTATTGCATCCCACCTAATATCGTTCCCTTTATGTGGCTTTGGCGGGTAAAATTTCCCCCTGAAACTCGCCTCATTTGAATCCTTACCTTTCTCACTCTCTTCACAATAAATCCCAGAATCTGCATTCCCGTTTGTCTCACTGGCTCCATTGCTACTGACACTGTTATGTGACCCAGAAACGTTGCTGCTACTACACAAACTGATACTAACACTGTGATGGGAACTAAGATCACGAGAACTACTGCTAGAGGCATTGCTAGTAGAGCTGTTATCAGACAGAGAAATGGTAATACTACACTCACTGTTGTTGAAGGAGAGATCTTGAGAAGCCATTGCAGGGTTACTGAGTTTTTTGTCCATGATTTAGAGAATGCAGCCAAAGTGTTTGATGGAAGTTGGTAGAAGGGAGGGTAATAAAAATGGAGTATTTGGTCAAGGTGTTGGAGTGTGAGCGAGGTGGTCAAAGTGAGAAGGAAGGTTTGAGACGCTTATTCAAATTTGAAATGATATACCCAATGAGCAACTCTCTCTCTCTCTTTCTCTCTTGCAGTTTTCCAGAACGAATATGTTTGTTACAGGTTAGAGAGAAAAGAAATACAGAGAGAGAGAGAGAGAGAAGAAAGCTCAGTTCACGAGGATGGCTAACGCCATTCACCCATTATATATACATAATCAGTTACTTATATTGACAGATTAGCTTGTGTCTGTATAATTTGAATTGGGTTTTCTTTTATTATTATTTTTTTTAGCCAAAGACATATCATTTACCCCGAGATTATGAGATTTACGAAGAAAAGTTTTTAGGGTTTTACTGGAAACTTGTTTATCAGCAGACCAAGCTCTTAGATTTAACTTCCAAGCGTTTTTATGTAACAATGAGGTTGACCCACCTGCCTGAGATCAATTAAATTCATCTTCAGAATCATCTGTTTTCTTTTTTGAAGAAAATACAGAAACATCAAATATTAGTTGAAACAAGATTTACGTCTATTTATAATGATGGTTGAAAAGCATGTTTTTTAAAAAAAATATATATATATAGTTGAAAAATATCTACTCTTAATAATTAGCTATATATGTGTCTATACGTATGTATGTATATATATATATATATATATATATATAAGTAACATGTTTTTTGTTTAATCTTGCTAGTTGAGAAACATGCATTTCATTAAAAGTCAAAAGGATATAAGTTTAATTTAAGTATCAAATGCTATAATGAAATTAAAAGAATGATGGTTAGTTAGTGTTAAGTTTAGTGCATAGTGATTCACTCACAATGTGTATTTCTCCATCTAAAGCAACTCCATGAATTATTATGTTCTCAAACTTTTCTTCTCTAATTCTTTAATATTCTTTTTCTTGCAAGGGAAACATAATCACCCTACTTGCTTATCTTTTAAGATTTCCTTGCATCAAATTTTTAAATTACAATTCAACAAGAAGCAATAGTACTTCAAATATTATGAATTTGTTTGTACCATCTTTAATAGATTGAAAAAAATAAATAAATTATAAATTATAAATTTAAATCGTCATTTGACTAGATATTTGATAACTTTATTTATAAAATATTACAAAAACTTCATTTTTTATTCTTTATAAATTATGTTATGAAAAGTGTGCATATTTAATTTAAATAATGAAATATATAAATATACGTAAATGTACATTTTAATAAAAAATAAATAAAATGATTATTCTTATATTAGAATATTTTACCCTAAAAATTTTGTAGTAGGATATCAGTTTTGCTTGATTTATTAAAATTGTCATTGATTTTCTTTTCTCTGAAAAAGAATTGCTTTGGGTAATCCATTGGGAGTATTTAAACCCCAACCCGGTAAATTGGGCCCAGTGAGCCCTTCGCGGCCCTAAAACTAACCGTTCGATTTAGGGTTTCTAATGTTGCATGTACCATTAGATCTATAAGTAGGAGCAGAAGGAGTGGGAGTAGTACTCTTGTGGTCTGGCTTTAGTTTTAGGGTTCTTCGGTGGTTTCTAATCTCACTGTCAGTGGTTGCGGCTCCTTCCTGCCGTAGGGTTTCTTTTGCTGGTATTGTTTTCTGCCTGATCTTTTATAGTTCGTTCCCTTTGGGTTCTTTTCTTAGTCTTTAATTTTTCTGAGTATCGATCAACTGATGAGAGAAAACTGCAACAATATGATGGATTACAGTTCCATGATTCCTTGTATTTAAGTCTCTGATGATCAATATTTCCACTATTTTCTTTCTGATATTCATCTTTAATTTCTAAGTTTAATTCGATAAAATTTCTTAGAATTATGTAATGCTTGTGGGAGAGGATGAATTATTTTTTGGTCCGTGTTTCTGATCTACCCGTGACCGACACATTTTCCAATTTCTGATCCATGATTCATTGTTTTTAATTCTTTAACGATCAAAATTTCCCCTAGTTTCTCTATAACATTCATATGTAATTTCTCATTTTAATTCGAGAAAGTTTCTTACGATTATGTGATGCTTGTGGGAGATGATGAATTTTTTTTGGTCCGTGTTTCTGATTTAACCGTGACCGAAACCATTACCAACCTCTGATCTCGCAAATAATCTGCTCTATCAATTTTTAGTTTGGTTTTGTGCTTTATTTCGTCAAACGCTTTCGGTTTTTAGCCATTCAAAGTTTTAAACAATTGTAAAATTTTGTTTGAAGTTAATTTTGGTTTTAAATTGTGATAGCTCAGTGATGATTTGCCCAGTACGGGCAATATACGCTATTCCGATAAACGACATGAGCAGAGGATAATCATAGGATAGAAAAATGAGAGCTATTACTTTGATTGATGTTTGTACAATATTATGTATTAATGCAGTGATGAACTTATGAAATAATTCACATGTCAGACTTCAGAGATTTCACAAAATCAATGAGAAGAAACTTCATATATTCTGAGCATGAAAATAAATTTTGATTTTTGTATAACTTTTCTGTTTGTGAAAATGTGACGGGGGATCTGTTAGATCCTTTTCTTTGATTGGGGCAAACTGATAAGTGTTTGTAAATCTCAAGGAAAACGTCACAGACAAAAGCCTGTTAATGTTGACGGTCCTCTGCATCTGGAGAGCTCCTCCATTGATGGGTGGTCTCATATTCCATCGCCTTGTGTAGCAGCGTTGTTGCATTTATCTCTTGGGACTGGCCATGAGACATACAATTTATTTCTTTCAGAATTTTTTTGTTAAAAAAGTGGCCTGTGATGAAATCATTCTTAAAATTACCATCTTTCGGGACTGAATGGCTTCTTTTCAAGCCTTGCTGTAATTCTGCAATTCTGAGGCCTCTATCTATTTTTCTTCAATTTTAAGATAACATGTTTGGTACACACTGTTCTGGAATTGTATCATTCTTGTTTGTATCTCTAGATGATTGACACTGCCCTTGAATTTTATTATGCTGTTCTTGAATTTAATGCTAGCATTATTGATACTCTGTTCTTAGATATATAATTATTCTTGCTTGTGACTGTAGATGATCTAACCATTGAGTTGGAGTCTATTCAAGTTATGATTAACTGCAATTGATATTTCTTTACGTGAAAGTAGTTGCAGGTTGTGAGTTCTTGTGATTTTTGAATATCTTGAGTGAAATTGAATGGTTTTATGTTTCATATTTCTATGGGCTGGTTTTTGAAGTATTTTTCATTAAATGGAAATGAAACGAGCTTCGATTTATTTTGTAAATTTTCCAGAAATTAGGCAGTGGATACAGACAGTGTCATTAGAAGACAAATGTGTCTTGGAAATAGAATTAGATATTAATTACTTTTTAGATAATTTTTTTACTCAAAAAAATGATTGAATCAAATTTAAATATCAAATTATTAAAGAAAAATATTATAATTTAATTTTCTATTGAAATGAAACAAAATAAGATCTTAACTCAAAACACTTGGCCTGTGTATCAGAGGGCCAGCCATAAACTCATTCAACCAGTCCCCATGACCGAGTTCTGAGCCTCTGGCTACGGAGACCAAGAGAAAGAAAGAGATAACGCAGAGGAGCTAGTAAAGTTTAGTACGAGCAAAGAGTACTACGCTAAAACTGACATGGCGTGGAAAAGGGTATATCTCCTTGGTGATCCACCAAATGCAGGGAAATCAACCATGATTATTGCCATTGCTAATTTAAGATGTATATGATCATGAGTTGACTATAGTGCAGGACAATACCGAGCCTAGAGAGATTTTAATAGGAACTTCCAATAACCAGACAACGAAAAAAGAAAAACATAAAGGATGAGGAAGAAGATGATAGTATCTGATTTAGAAGAAGGCCAAAGAGGAGGAGGATAAGAAAGATTGCATTTCGTTGATGGTCTCCGGTGAATTTATGGAGAAGAAAGAACTATTATTTTCCACCAACTATGTTGAGAAACTTTGTGGCACTTAAAAGAATAAGAAGAATGGACAAGCACATACAGATGTCACATTGTTGCTTTTAAGCATTCATGATTCTAGCAAAGAATTATTTGGATGTTAATTCTAGTCAAATGTTCGGAGAAATTAGGCAACTATCGGAGAAAACCAGTATAACACATGCAAATGTTGCAAATAATTTGATGCCCAAATCTGCGGATGAAGATGAAGAAACCTGCTTGAAGAACCTGATCTAAGCTCCTTAAGCAGGCCAAGGAGGAGGAAGCAAGAAAAAGGGTGATTGAGGAAGAGGAGCATCTAAAAGCAGAGAAAGTAAAGGAGGAGAAATATACAGAAAATGAGGTTAAAGATAGCCAAAGTGCCTGGCAAACAAGTGAAGGAAAATGAAATCACTCAACAAAATGGCACTTGATGAGGATGATCGATTATAATTAATCGTATCATAAATAAATATTACACATGCAGTGCCATCATAAAAAGTCACTTGTCCATTATTAAATTAACTTGCAGTATTACTGTAGTTTTCTGTTAAGCTGTTCTTAATTTCTTTATTTTTATTTGAATCACAGGCGTTATGTTATTGGTGAATCCTGAATCCTATAAGTCACTAATCCTCTAATCAGTAATTGTTTTGATGCAAGAAGAACAATATATTTACATTGACATATATACATATATATTCATAGATAATAAGTAGTAGTTCAAACAAACTTAGGGGTTTATGGATTCTTATGAAATTTTGATATGGATGGAAAATTTTCCTTAAAAACTTTTTGATAATATAAAATTTTGTTACAGATTCTGAACTGTAATAATTATAGTGTTGAAAAATAAGTTGCTAAAAATGTGATTGCTATTGCTTATATAGTTCTTATATATAGTTTCTAAGCATTTTCTTTTTAACTTATGTTGATTGGTGGTATATGCTTAACAGCATATATATATATACACATAACTTTTTATGTCTAAAAGTAGGTTTAAAACAATAGAAAATAGGCACCTTACCTCTTAACTTTTTATGTAATTCTTATTTAATTATTTTAATTGATTTTCACTTAAAATTAACAATGTTTATAAAATATTATTAATTTTTTTGACTAAAAACTTATATGATTTAAGCACATTTATTTCAAAAATTCTAAATGCCTAAAGTAGATTATTAAAAATTCACTCTTACTCATGCACATACATATTGCTAATTAATAAAAATATAGAATACTAACTTTAATATGTGATTGTATTACAAAATTCTTATGCTTGTTTTTATGAGCTTATATAAGGTTACGATATAATTATTAATATATTTTGTATATTTTTATTTAATTTATCAAAAATAATTATTAAATTAAGTTTATAACATAATTAAAAATTGAGGAAATTGCAAAAATTTCACTTTAGTTTTTTTTTTTTTTTTAACAAAATGCTCCCCAAAAAAAAAAAAAAGGTTCAAGATTTGAAAATTCAACAAAAATTAATTTCGAGTGGGTTTTGGGCCCACTCAGCCATTAGTCATTAGGGCTTCCAATTACTTGAATGCTGAAAATGAACAAATGCCGGTTGATTCCGTCCCAAGTTCTTCCCATTTTCAATCATAATTTTCAAGTCTGCAGTTCCTCCGTCGGTTGGCATCCTCAAATCGGTTTGTTTCTTCTTTCCCTTGTCTTTCTTATCATTGCTTTTAATTTACGAATCTTGGAATTTCGAAATCGAGATTAATGTTCAGTTAATATCGCTTTAATGTGTTGGGGTAGTATAACCTAGAACTGAACTCCGTTGACCATGTGCAAATTCATGGCTTCTCTGGGGACCTTTCTTGTTAGCTTCTTAATTTAATTCAAACAACTTCGTATTGGTTGTTCAATTCAAAATGCATTTCTAGTTGAGATAACCGGTCAGTGCTGTTGATCCATATGTGGATTTGGAAGATAACTGGTTGTTATTGGGTGCGTTCTGTGATTTCTTGTTGGTCTTTAGCCTTACTGTCAGTAGAAATATTCAGTACCCATGCGGGGTAAGAATTCCTCCTTCAGTAAATATACCAGACATCCAGTTGATAATGATGCTGTCTTTTATTTTTTTATTTTTTTGTATTTGATGGGCAGTTGTCCTGTTTATGCGTGTCAGGGTTGCCGGTCTTCTTGCGTTGTTTATATCTGAAGTTTGTTCATGTGCATCTTTGATGCAGGGTTGAAGTAAGACGTAGCATTTTGTTTTCCGAGTTGAACAATTAGCAATTTCAGATGTTGGTTAAAGGAAGGAAAATTTCCGGCAGGGGGGAGACAGTGGCATTAAATTATGCTTTTGATCCGGCTGAAGATGAGATAATCATAAAACATAGGCTTCTGACCCGCACCACTACCACCAGGGGCGAACCCCCATTGAAAAAGCTTCAGAAGAAGTTCACCTCATTTGCACTTGAGATCGAGAAGGATGAGGATAACTTCAATGACTGTGCAAGACTTTCCAAGGCTTTCTTACAGGAACTGTCCACTTTTGAGATCCCACTCCTCAAGAGCCAAGCAGTTATTGAGGCAAATCTTAGAGAAAAGGAGAATTTCAACGAGTTGAAATCTGAGACAAATAGGCAGATTTTGCAAGCACAAGCTGATATAGAAGATCTAAAGAAACAGCTTGAGGAGAGTAAAATTGAAAGACAGCACAAGGAGGAGTGTGAGGCGACCAGGAAATTGATTTCTGCACAGCCACCCAGATCAGAAACCCAAAAGATCATAAGAGAGCTTGAGAAAGAAATTGCAGAATTGGAGGCTGAGAATACTGCCAGTTCAAAGGCTTTTGGAACTTCGCAAGAAACAATTTGCTCTGTTATTGCATGTGGTACGTATTGCTTTGCCTAGTCTATGGGTTTGAAAATTTTCCAATATTATATTAGAATATGCTTGTTTATATTACTTAAAGATTTTGGGTTACATGTGTACATATTTTTGAAAATTTAATTATGATATTCACATGGCTTAGGTTTCCACTCTGGTCCTCTAAGGATTATTGTGAAATATTGATGTTTGTGGTTTTGCTGCAGTTTCAAAAGTAATTAAGATATTCATCCCTGAATTTAACTTCATAATCTCTATAGCCCCAATATGCCTGCCCTTTGAGTTATATGGGTTGCTGATATCCTCATGGGTAGACACCTGATGCAATTCTGGGGGAGCTAGGAATCTTCTAATTATGTTTTTTTTTCCGCTATTACCTTAATGCATGGGAATGCAGTCCATAGACTTGGGCTTTCTCTTGTTTCATCAAACACTTCCAGCCCTTACAGTGGGCAAGCTCAGATTGTTTATAATTATTACATGAAATTTAGTGTTCTGTTAAACAAACTTCAGTTAAAGGAGTGCAGGATCTCATCTTGATTTTGGATTGTTTGTTACTACTCAAGATCAAGGGTACTAAGTTTAAGTTCTCTTCTGGGCTAGTTGGTTTGCTCCAAAATGCACCCAGGCATGAATTTTATTCGGATTAGTTGATGCCAAGGAGGAGCTACCTGGGGTAAAAAACTTAAGAATAAAAAAACCCCCTGTAGTGATAGTTTTGTTGTGTGCTATGATAATGTTCATATGGTAATCTGGCAATGGTACAGATTTTTGTTGTTTTTGTCAATAGAGAGCTACTGTCAATGTTACATTTAAGTTTTTGATTTCATTTATCTCCTTTGCATATTTCCATGTTTCTTTCTGTGATGACATATGGAGGAAAGATGGTGGGATTTGTTATTCTTCGGTTTTTGTATCATGTGAACGAGTTTTGCAGGTTTGAGACCATCTCTGCATGACAATGTTCTGCTGCTTATTATAACTAATGCGAACTGTCAACAAGTTGGATCTGCATTTTCTACATAGACTTCTAATGGTTTTCTTTGAAACTTTTTGCAGGTGGATGAGTTGCAAAATACCATAGAAGAAGAGCAAAAGAGCTTAGTTGAAGAGCTTAGAATGACGGCTGAAGAACAAAAGAATCTATTAGAGGATGCTAATGGGAGCTCAGAGGCCATGGCCATTGATTAGATCCATGTAACATATAGTTTAGGCAGGGTAATTCTGTGCACTACGGTCATTGAGAAGAAAAAAATAGGCTCTGTTCCTTTTGCTTTTTAAGACAAGGGTTTCTACCCTATTAAATTATTGTGTCGGACAGTTTTCTTCTCCTCTTGATGCAGTGCATAAATATTTTTCTTCTTTGAGAAATCGATGCGTTCCATATCTAAATCGTAAATGTTGAAAATGGTGAATTACAAACCCTTTATCTGCTGTACAAGTATCTGCTTCAATTCGTAGGAGTGAAGATTTAACCTATATTTGGTGGGACTGTTCTGTTTTGCCAATTCAAATATGAATTTTTTTAATTTAAAATTCCGGTTTGGATTGAGTTGGTCTTCATGAAGTAAGATCATGGGTTAACCCTCAAATTTGAATTTTATAGTTTAGCATGTGAATTTGACCCGGGATAGGACCGGGCCGGTTGAATATAATTTTTTTAATACCTTTTTTCCTTGAATGACAAAATTAAATGATCATCCCGGTCCTAACCCGACCCGTTTTTATAGAACGTAATTGTTTGGTTTGAAATATTTTCGGATATTAAATATTACTTAGCGGAGAAGTCTGGGTTACTTTTGTCATCATACTGGAAGTGTGGACGGCTTCACTACATGACATGTCAACTGGTCAACGTCAAATTCGGCAATTTAATGAGTTCCCACTCGAGCTGTTGTCATATAATGCCATGAACTTCCTTCTTCCTCCTCTTCTCTGTAATCCAAACCAGAAGAACAGAGATCAGGCATGACGTTCAGAGACGTTTTCACTCATCTGGGTTCCATACTCGCCAGTCTAATGTTCCTTTGGGCTGTTTTCCAACAATATTTCCCTTACCAACTTCGCAGCTCCATCGAGAAATACTCACAAAGATTCGTGAGCTTCGTCTACCCTTATATCCAGATTACCTTCACTGAGTTCACAGGCGAGCGCCTAATGCGCAGTGAGGCTTATTCCGCCATTGAAACCTATCTGAGCTCAATTTCCTCCACGCAAGCAAAGCGGCTCAAGGCCGATATAGTCAAGAACAGCAACCAGTCTCTGGTTCTAAGCATGGATGACCATGAAGAGGTCGCAGACGAGTTTAATGGAGTCAAGCTATGGTGGGCATCTGGCAAAAATGTTGCCAAGACACAATCCTTCTCATTCTACCCCATCACAGACGAGAAGAGGTACTATAAGCTCACTTTTCATAAACGTCACAGGGATCTGATCATCGGACCTTACCTAAGTCATGTTATCAAGGAGGGTAAGGAAATTAAAGTGAGGAATAGGCAGCGGAAGCTTTATACCAACAATGGGTCAATGTGGAGTCATGTGGTGTTTGAGCATCCTGCAACTTTCGAGACTCTGGCTCTTGACCCGGAGAAGAAAAGAGAAATTATTGAGGATTTAATTATATTTAGCAAGGCAGAGGAGTTTTATTCGAGAATTGGTCGAGCTTGGAAGAGAGGATATCTTCTTTACGGGCCTCCTGGGACGGGTAAGTCCACCATGATCGCCGCCATGGCTAATCTCTTGGGCTATGATCTTTACGATCTTGAGTTGACTGCCGTGAAGGACAACACCGAGTTGAGGAAGCTACTGATCGAGACTTCAAGCAAGTCGATTATTGTGATTGAAGATATCGATTGTTCGCTTGATCTCACTGGTCAGAGAAGGAAGAAAATGGAGAGAGAAGAAGGAGGAGATAAAAAAGATCCTAAGCAGAAGATACCGCAAGAGGAGACAAAACCCAGTCAGGTTACTCTTTCTGGGCTATTGAATTTCATTGATGGGTTATGGTCAGCATGTGGAGGAGAGAAATTGATTGTTTTCACGACAAATCATGTTGAGAACCTTGATCCTGCTTTGATTCGAAAAGGGCGGATGGATAAGCACGTGGAATTATCATACTGCAGTTTTGAAGCATTCAAGGTTCTGGCTAGAAACTATTTGAAACTCGAATCTCACCATTTATTTGACCCGATTCAGAGATTGTTCGCAGAAACCAAGATGACCCCCGCTGATGTTGCCGAACATTTGATGCCGAAAATGGCTTCTGGTGATCCAGAAGCATGCCTGGAAAGTCTGGTTCGAGGTCTTGAGCTTTCCAAAATGAAAGCTGAGGATGAAGAAAAACCAGAAAGGATTACCAGAGTAAGAAAATCAGAAGAAGAGCTTCCAGTTACTGGTAAAAATAGAGCAAATGATTAAACTCAACAGAATACCAGTAATCAACGAGGCAGGCGTAGAAGATGATCTCCATATGTGCCAAACTCTTTACCATTTAAAGATTTTGCAAACATAATTTTGAGATATCAGAAATGTGATACTTCAATTTTAAATTTGTTGGGTTTAAAATTTACATAACTAATATAAAAATTAAAATAAAAATGTAAATTTGAATTTGTTTGAGTTTTAATTCGTTTACATAACTAATATAATTTAGTTTTATTGTTAATTTAAATTATTTATTTTTATTAATAATTATTATCGTTATTTTTTTTTTTAATTTTATCATGTCCAAATAAAAAAGGAAAAGAAAGAAAAAATGGAAGAAAAATAAAACAGAAAACAATTATAATTTAGTTTTTATTTTTATTGTTAATTTTCATTAATTTGGGGCCAAGCAGATTTTCTTTTCCTCTTTATCTGGTCCAAGAAAGTTAAGCCTGAGCCCCTTTCACCCAAGCCTGGGTGCATGAGACGTTCCCTTAACACCCAAAAAAGAAAATACCCAAAACAGCGTCGTTTAACCGAAGCCCCTCAGATGTTCTAAAACGACGACGTTTAGACGTCCCTTAAAAGCCAAACGCCAGCGTTTCGTTACCTCGATAACTTTCTTCCCTCCATTTCCTTTAGGCAGTGGATTGGCACTACGGATGGAGGAGAAAGTGCAAAGAAAGACCATGGCACTCGAAGTTAAGGGGAATACGACATGAGGTTTTCACCAAAATGGAGAGGCTGAATCAAGTCTCTGGTCTCTATGGGTGGGCTTCGCTTTAAACCGAAAGGGAAAGGGAACAAGAGTAACATGGCAACAGGGTAGCAGAGCTTCGGGTAGGAAGAATGCTTTTCTATTTTAATAAATGATGGGATGCTGTTCTAGGGAGACAAGGAGGCCGAGGTCAACTCCAAAGAAGCAGCTGGTCAAGAGCTGAGAGTGACTGAACCTGAGGAGAACCTCGAGACTCCCGAAGCTTGCTTTCCCTTTTGGCTGTAATAGGCGAAGCGATTGAAGCTTTGGGGGGATCTTAACTGGTCTTTGGCTTAAAAAAAAAAAAAAAAAAAAAAAAAAAACCGAGAGGAAATTTGTATGTTTGTTTGTTTTTTCCTTCGTTCATAATCTGGTCTGGTTGTGAAAAAAAGGACATTCTGGAAAGGAAGAGATAGATATGAGAAATTAGTAGGTATTTATATATCTTTTTATTTTTATTTTTTTAGAAAAAAACTGGTTAGGTTTCAGCAATGTCATGTCTTTTGTTCTTTGTTAAGATTAATGTTTATTTTCAGTTTATGATTGATATTTGCCTTCTTTAGCTGCTGTTGAAAGGCATGTATTATCATTGAGATTTTGTACTTGTATTTGGATGGAAATGGTGGGGTTGATCTCCATGGATGCTGTATCAATAAGCTGTTTGCATATATGGTTACAAGGATTTGTCATTTTGTAGTTGCAATGATCAAAACAACATATATAATGTTTAATTCACGTTAAACATTCTCTTTAGTTATTTATTTTTAATTTAATATAATTTGTCTTGAAGATTAAAAATTCAAAAGTATTATTTCTTGACTTTCTATTGAAGCTAATAACATAGCTCGTATATTATTAAATCATCCAATACTTGGGCTCTCAAATCAACAAGCTATTGCAATAGTTTACTAGTAAATGAATCTACAAGAAAATGAATACACATTGAAACTAATCATAACTTCAATAAATCCAAACTCCCTAGCAAGAAAATGAACGGAAACATATACATTAGCAAATTAAACACCCTCCCAATTGATGAGTTAATAAGTAAAAAAAATTAAACTAACGAGTTAAGCATGTAATTATGAAGTAGAAGAATACTGAAAAAAAAGAAGAGAGAGATGAAAATTCAAAAGAAAGATATAATACCTCTAACATTTTCAAGGGAATTTGAGGGGTAAAAAGGAAAGTAGGTTCTTAGAAATTGAATGGGCTTGGATTTAAGGTTGAATTTTAGTTATTATAATAGAAACTAAAGTTTATAGAATTTTAAAATTTTATGGATTTACTTGGACGTATATTTTCTGTTGAAATCTTGGTCTCTCGGTAAATAAAGAATTATACAAATGGTTTCCACTTTTGTTGGTCAGTTTTTCTAACCTATTCAAAAACTCTATTAATATATCTCTTTTTTTGTTTCTTAGTTCTATGTCTGTACATTTTTTTTTTCCCAATATTTTATCGTCTCTTACCTACTCAAAAATTCTCAGGTCTTTTCTTCCATAGTCAAAAACTAATCTATGGTAGAAATAATCAAAATTCGTATTCATAATTTGGCACACCTACCGCAGAAATAAGCAATATGTTGTTCCGTAAAATTCCAGGATGTTTCCACTTTCCACACAACCAAGTAAGATTATAATTATATATGCCATCATGAGTATATTATACTCGTGGATGGAAAATGTGTAGAAAGGACCTTCAATCTTTGAATACATGACAAAACAAATTAATACTGTAGTTGTTAATTCCAAGCTAATCACGTGCTCGCGGATGGAAAATGTATGGCTCTCTAACAAGAACAATGAATTTATATGAAGAAATTATAAAAACCCAATTCCATAATTGAAAAAATTATATCATGCGGTCGAACTTGAACTTGAACATGAACATGCACGTGTAAATACATTCTCGGGGGCTGTTCTTTCTAGTCTTACTTTAATGCAAATTATACATGAGTCAAGTCAACCACCATAATAATTGCATCTTTTAGTGGGGGGGTGAATTTTACCATAATTTGTGTTTAACTTAAGATGGGGTGGCTTGCTTAGCCGACCCTTCCAAAAATTACCTTAGTTTCCTGGAAATATGTTATTATTTTAACATACACTACTAATTAGGTACAAAAACGAGTAACTTTTCTTTTTTTTTTTTTAATAAATCAAGATTACAGAGGTGAAAAAACCAAGAATATATGCACACACACGCACACACACATATATATATATATATATATATGTACATGTAGAGCCTGTGTTTATCTATAAATAGGTGTGTGCATGTAGATATAATTGGAGCTGGATTGAACTTACAAGAAGGGGTTGAGGGATTCTTGTCGCAGGAGCGATGGCACCGGTTGGGTTAATTGCTTTCTGTCTTGATAAACATGAAGCTAAACCTGCAGTCTAGTGGTGCCGTCGCACTGTGACAAGAATCCCTTTAATTCCTATTCAATTTGCTCATTACTTTTCTTCATCTTTTCCATTATTATTCCTGAATGTTTAATTAATTTACTCACCAATCAAGGTAATGGATTAGAGTTAAAGTATTTAGCTAGCCACTCTTATTATCTTCTGCCCATAGATATTACAATTTTTTTTGTTGTATACATGATTCAATCTTTTACTAAAAACAACTGTATGCTTTTTTTTTGTTTTTGTTTTGTTTTGTTTCGGTTTACTTTGTAGGAACACTTTTAGAAAAGAACGGTCATACTTTTTCTCATAATTATTTCATTTTATTTTCTCATAATACTTATGAATTGAAGTTAATTGCTGCATAATGTCATACAACCTCCATAATTTTTTTGGCATTTTTTTTAGATCAATTGCATGTGAGATCCTCAAATGTATTTTTTATATTTTTATTTACTTCTACATTAAAATATAACATCGAAAATTTATTTCATACCCCTTGTGTAATGAAATCCATTATGCTACCTGTAATACTCAAATCCGGAATTAATTTTAATATTTTAAATATATATAAAATTTATTTTTAAATTAATTCATTTTAATTTTTATTGAATTTATGAAAAAAACTACAGGTTAGATCTGAAATTAAAAATAATTTTGAGAAAAATGAGTAAAAATTTGAGTTTGATTGGTGTTTTTTAAAGAAAAATCGAAAACTGGGATCAAAGTACAAATAAAAAAAAATTTGTCACGTAGGACCACCCAATCAGCAACCCTGACAAACCGGAGTACGCCTTGTAGCAAGGCACGCTGACGTCCGTGCCACGCGGGCAATCTGCGTGCCTTGCAATCGAACAACCCAGAATCGATCCCGCGTGCATGGACGAGCCGAATTTATTCCTCGTTTATTTCACATCACACTGAACCCAAACCTTAGCCGCCAGCCTCTTGCCGGAGAAGAAGAACCAGTTGCCGGAGAAGAGAGCCGATCGCCAACTGTCGTCGCACTGTAGTCACCTTCGACCATCAAAAAAGGTAAAAAATTTTATACCCGCTCGGAATTCGATTCCGAGCACCTCTATGACCACATAGGAGCAAAACGAATAACGACTGAGCCGGAAACCACGGGCAAAGCCTAATAGCGCCGCCACGGGCAAAACCCGCAACCTCCTCCGATGATCCCATTTTTGTTTCCCGTTTCGTGCAATTTTTTTACCGTTGTGTTCACCGTTATCTTTTCTATAGGTTGACCGAAAAAAAAATCTCGGCCGATAAGGTGAGCCGGCGGAGCCGCCGTACCTGAAAAATTCTACCACCAGTAGGTTTTCGTTTTTTGATTTTTTCAGCCAACCGAGGCCCCCTAATATATTTTTTCGCAGGGATATGTATAAAGGCGGCTAAAATCGGCGAAAACTGACCGAAAACAGTCAGGCTGAGGCAAACTACTGCCGTGGGCAATGGTGTCATTGCCAGAGCACGGCGATGCTGCCGTGCAGAAATCCTGAAATTGGCCGGAAATGATTTTAACATCAATTTTTGAATTTTTTGAGGTATTTTTAGGTACGTGAAGTGTATTTTGATCTCTGCAGAAAAATTCAGGAAGCCCAAGGATCGCCAGTAAGCACAGTAGAAAGTTAGATATTTCATACACCGATTCAGGTAATGATCCCTTACCTTTTTTTTCGTTACGACAAATTGAGACTTAATAATCAATAATTGTGTGTTTTTATGAAAAATTAGAGAATTTTAAAAATAATTACAGGTCACTAGTGGAACTGAAACCAGTTAGTTAATAGTCGTTTCGATTTCCTATTTATTTTTCTGTATTGCCTATATTTGTTCTTTATTACATTGTGTGTAACTCAATTTATGATTTTTAGGGTCTTTTTAGTTATTTTGTTATTTATTTTTCCTGTATTGCATGCCAGTATTTCGGTCATTGGTTATTTGGTTG